ATGTTAATACCAAAGCTCAAAGAATGCACAGTGGAACCACCTAAGACCTCCAGGACACAGCAAGCCAGCAAAGGCCCCTCTGGGAAGGTACACGTCAAACCCCCCACGCAGTAACACTCATGTTGATGAGACTGCTGTGGTGACCCTCTGGTGGACAGGCAGAGGGGGGTCACCCAAAAGGCAGATGCAGCCCAGGCATTTTGCTAAAAGGCCAGAAGTCTTGCTCCAAAATGAGGCTGAATTTGCCACCTCGCAAACTTTCTATGTCTCCCTCCCTGTTTGTATTTGAGCCGCTATTCTTGTAAAAGCAAGAAACTCCATGAATGAAGGGTGAAAGAAAGGCAGAAACATTAAAGAAAAAAAAAATCGCCTTTAAATGTTAAAGGCCAAAGTACTTTCCTTGGGCAAATAACTCTCCAGAGACACCCCCGTCACTGCCGAGACCACGGCCTTGTCCTCACCCACCTGTCCCCTGGCCCAAAGAATGAAAACCAGAAACATTCCACTTGTTTCCCTACTTCTGAAGCTTCAGCTCAGTGCTGCTGTCAATCGGCAGTGAGCCTTGCTCTGCACCTCTGTCCTCAGTTTCTGTCCATATAAGAGTCATTTACCATATTAGCCCAAAGAAGCCCTCCAACATCTGATTGCCACTTTGCACATGTTCAAAGAGATCAGTCTGGCAGTCAACTTTAAATCATAGACAAAAGCCATCTGACAGTTGTTGATTTTGTAGTGCTTCTCTTTAATCTGGATTTTGAAAGTAGCTTGCCAATGAGCCAAGATTTCTGCCTGGGTCTCTCCCTCGGGGCGGTTTGACACAACTGTAGCTTCTGTGTGCTCCTTTCTCAATCTGAGTGGCCTAAGGACACAGGACACCGTGCTTTGGACAGAACAGGCACCCTTTATGATTTAAACTACCTCCTGCCAAGGAATTCCCTTGCCTGGATTCTATTAAAACTGGGTTCCCATTTCCCCTGACCACCATTTTTTAACTCAAGCAGAGGACGGGGGTTCTGAGCTGTGCTGTGATTTCTAATAATAACCATTACCACCAAATTCTCGTACCAGCGCATTTGGATGCCCCTATGAAGTTAACTGTAATGGAATCTGCCTCCCTGTTGTGTTTTTACAGTAACGCCCCCATCCTGGTTAACTGCACCAGCCTTGGGAACCAGAGCAAGCCAACAGGCCCAAACATCACAGAAATAGGGCAGGCGAACACCAAGCAATCATTTCACTAACAAATGAAAGTATAAACCACAGCACACACTGTACTTCTTCAGGTTACCGACAGGCATCTTCAGTGTGCTATACAAGTGAGTGTGAGATGGAGTTTACATAAGTTTTTCAGGCCAGAATCATTGCTGCCTACTTGCAAGTCAAGGCTAAATCCATCGAGCTGAGAAACAAGTGAGTTACTCTTAAAAGGTGAGTGTTTGTTTGTTTGTTTTGAGACAGAGTTTCACTCTTGTTGCCCAGGCTAGAATGCAACTGTGCAATCTCGGCTCACTGCAACCTCCGCCTCCCAGGTTCAAGCGATTCTCCTGCCTCAGCCTCCTGAGTAGCTGGGGTTACAGGCATGCGCCACCACGCTCAGCTAAATTTTGTATTTTTAGTGGAGACAGGGTTTTTCCCTGTTGGTCAGGTTGGTCTCCAGCTCCAAACCTCAAGTGATCTGCCAGCCTCGGCCTCCCAAAGTGCTGGGTTTACAAGGCATGAGCCACCATGCCCGGTCAAAAGGTAAGTTTTATAAAGACAGCTCACTTTCTTCCCCTTTAAATAATTCAAGCCAGTTCCGTACCCTTTTACAAAATGTTGCTTAGTCACTTAAATATTTACTTTTTCAGATGACACTGTTACAACTCTGCAATAAAAATAATTTCATAGGTAAGGGTCTGCTCTGAGCCCTCAAGTATTTCCATATTCTGATACTTTGTAGGCGGAAGAAAAAAAGCTGCTACCCCTGAAAGATACACCAAAAAGGAACAACTGCACACAGTGATAATAAGGACATGTTTCCTGGATGCCAGAACTAAGCCACATCACCGCTAGCCCCAGATAATACTTTTCCAGCAGTCTGTAATCACAGATTTATTCTAATGAACTAACCACTTTTGGGTCACCAAAGATGAGCCAGGCCGGTCCTGGGAGTGTCTAGCAAGCATCATTTAAAGTCATAATGATGAAAACTGAAATCTTGCTTATTTTAGCTCCTTGCCACTGGGCTGTCCAATTGGCACTGAGTTGACACAGCAGTTAAATTCAACCTCAAAGCAGCAAGAAAGCAGGCACTTCACTGTCCTGTTGGGCAGAGCCAGGCAGGGGCCTGTGGAGAGCACCGTTTTACTTGGGCCTTTCCAACCAGCCCTTAACATTCATTTGTGCTATCGAAAAAAGGAAGGAAAGGAACCAAAATGAAGTTTCAGGTGGTTGGGGAAGCAGCATGGATTTATATTATTAGTATTATTATTCTGGAATAGTTAGCAAGTGTTTCTCAATAGTTCCCTGTTCATCAATACTGTTTTCTGGAGAAAAGGAAAACAGTAGCTCTAGTTCATAGAAAGTATAGCCACTCAAAAAAAAAAAAAAAAAAAAAGTGAGAAGGGGGGTTGAGAAAGGGAAGTGACCCACGTCAAAAAGACAGAAGGTCTCCAAGTCACTTAATTCCTTGTGATTCTGAAAGGGCTGTTTTTAAAGTGTAAAAGTGCTCGCTTCTGCATCTGCTCCATGTTGTTAAATAACACTTGTGTAATTAAATAAAAGAGCCAAGTGTGACCCCAGCCCACTCTGAGAGGCACTTTACATGCTTTCTGAAAATTATGCTGGAAACGCCATGCGGACAACTCCTCAGTCCTGTAATTTAGGAAAGGGAGACAGAAAAAGTTTCTTTGGGCCATCATAGCTACACACTCTCTGAAAGGGTGCCTGCAATGAACGCAAATACAGGTGTGCAAACATCCAGGTATGTACCTCTCTCCAAAGACCCCATTCTTGAAACCCTTCAATTATTTGGAACCGTGGTCTCCTGACTTCCCTCACACCTCACTTTTGCCTTAATTGTTTTTAATGTTTGAGTAGCAAGAGGGATTCCAAATCTCAGGGTGCCAGTGGCTGTTCTGATAACAAGGAGCAGACTCACGTTCCTTGCTATGGCCTGTCTCGATCAGGTTACCTTGGAAGGTGTATGTTTTCCTACCCAAGGCAGTCCTCACCACAGCACTCACACGTTCTCCTCCAGCCCAGCCTCCTGGAACTCGTGATTTTCAGGGTTTCCCTTGAAACCTATCCAGAAACCACAGCCGTTAACTGAACATGAAGATTTGACACCTCCTGAATTTAGGAATGAGGGGACTCAAGGGGCCAACTCTGCAAACTCGCACCTGCTGCTTGATGGCAATGAAACAGAGTTTCCCCAGCTAGGGTGAGCTTTAAATTATACTCTATTTATTTAGTGACTTGTCTCCAAGGATCTCAAAGCATAGAGAGAAATAAGATGACGTGTAACTTTCTCACAATATACCTTCAAGGCTTTGCCCTGGTACATTCCGACAAGAAGGCCCCAGTCTGAAGGAGAGGCCTTCCCTTTGTGCTCAGGCAGGGCCATCTGTCCTCTCTGGGGTTATCTGTCAGTGGCTTTTTGGGAGTCTTCAAGGCCTGTTAAATGATACAAATAGAGGGCGGGGGGAGGGACGACCCTCCTGGATTCACCTGCTCACGGCTTTCACTTAAGCCAGTTGAACACATGAGGCGCCACTGTGGCACACAATTCCCTCTTAGCACACACCATGCATTGAGCTGCAGGCTTTGCCCTCCAGGCCTTTTCCTATCATAACACAGGTGTGTCCAAGGCAGAAAAGACTATTTTCCAGAAGGTTCATTTCCCTCCAAGCCTACAATGCTTCTTTTTGTTGATACTGTTTTTCTGCTACTGACCTAAACATAGGCATTCCTCCTCCTTTAACAGGATAAAAATCTTGACTCTCTCCTTTGCATCAGCTCCCCATCCCGCCCTGGCCCAAGGAAATAAATGCTCTGACTTTTCCAAGAGTGCAAAAAAACTAAAATTAGAGGGTGGACAAGATGCTCTCCAAAGGTGCCCTCCAGCTCCAAAACTCTGATTCTCCCTTTAATTACTCCACAAGTGCATTCTTCACATTGTTTCGAACTGACCAGTGACTTCTCCAGGGCTGAAAAGGGTGCATTTTTAGGCGGAGGCACCCAAACTTCTAAATGACACCAGTACCACAAGCATTCAGAAGGCAGGAACTAATCCAAAAGCAGACTCAGGAAAGGAGAAGGGAGGGGAGGACAGAGGGAAGGGAAGGAAGGAGTAAGAGCTTTACTGTGTGCCCAGTGGAATTTAGGCGCTCTCACCCTAGGTAGGTGGCAACTGGAGTCTGGGAGTTCAAGTGCATCCAGCCTTCCCTTCCCCCACACGCCCCAAGAGAATGGGAAGTTCAGCCAAGACTCGCAGCACCTGCCCGCGGCTCCAGGCCGGCTGCGCGGACCCGGAGGGAGGCTGCACTCACCTGGCACACCAAGCCTCCACGCACCTCCGGAGGGAGGCGGCACTTGCAGGTCCGGGGGCCGCGCCGCCATGCGCAACAACGGGAAATTCCAGTGGCACCCGAGCCCCGAGCTCACCCACCCCAGGAGGCATGCTCCCCACCTCCCGCTGGCCCCGGGACTCGGAGGTGGCTCTGGTTAGGAGCAGGGGGCCCGGAGACAGGGGAGGGGAGCTCATGTTGGCGGTGGGGCTGGCGGTCGGCCCGTCCCCGGAGGGAGGTCCCCGGGGCGCGGCGGGGATTCACCCACGGGGCGCGGCGCTCGCGTCCCGGTCCCCGGCCTGCCCGCCGCCGCTGCCGCCTCCTCTGCCGCCGCCCGCCCGGAATCGCTTTATGTAAATGAAGCCCAACTCGCAGTTTGCAGCACGCACCGCCCGGGGAAGGGGGGCGGGCTGGGCGGGGGGCCTTCGGGGATCCACATTACACAGCAACAAAGCGGAAGGTTAATTTGAAACTCACAGCCCCGCTGCCGCTCGGCTCCCCGGGCAAAGCCTGACATCTACAGTCGTGCCGGGCGCAGGCCGGGTTGCTCGGCGGCGACCGCGCCCGACCGCCCGCAGGGACCTGGGGACGCACAGGGACGCGCGGGGCCCGGGCGCTCGGCTGCGCTCGCTCCGCTCCGGGCGCGGGCCTTGGGGCAGGCCGGGGGACCCGCGCACCCGCCTGGGGCCAGGAACCCTCGCTGCTCGGCCTGCGCCGCCCGGGGAACCGGCCCCGGCGGGAACAAAGCCCGGGCCCTCCCGGAGGCGCTGACCCCTCGCTCATCAAAGGTCAGGGGCCGGCCTAGAATCGGGCAAGAAGAAAGGGTCGCGCCCTCGGCCACTAAAAGGAGCCTGGGGCCTCCGAACCGGAGCCATCGCTCCCTGGGCCCCGTCCACGTCACGGCCAGGCCACTCTAGTATGGGGACAGGAGCCAATGTGGACAGGAATTTATTGGAAACACACACCCATCCTATTAACTGCTTTACAGAGCACTTCTGTTTTTCAGTTGCAGAAACTTATAAAAACATCCCCCTGTTCTCCGTTGAGAGTTAAGGATAGTTTTTGAGGCCAGAGAAAGAGAAAAGAAGGAGAGATCACCAGAAAGAGAGGAAGAGAAGAAGTGGGAAGAAAAGGAGCTGCAGTCTACAATGGAAGCCTCCAGGCTCCTTAGCCTCACCTTATAAAGCCACATCACCGCAGACATAGGAAAGATCGTGCCCTTTCCCGGGGAGTTTCTACCGCCAGGGTAAGATTTAAACCGGCCACCCCAGTTGGTCAAAGCGATTGCTGGGCGCCTTTCTATCTCCCTAAGTTCACCTTTTCCAGTTGGTCAAAGGGATTGCTGGGTACTTTTCTATCTCCCCAAGTTCACCTTTTTCCATTCTGATCTGCAAGCTAGCCCCAAAGAAATCTCACCGGAAGTTCTCTGTCCTCCCTGTCACAATCCCACCCTCAGTCTGAATTTACTCCCGATTCTCACAGCACAGAAAGGCACCTGCTTTTACCCTTTCTGAAAACCACCCACCCAGGCTGGCCTTACAGCCTGGAGAGTCTTTTCCTCGGGCACAATAATGAACCATGCAAGTGTCAGAAATATAATCAGCTCAAGAGGAGAAGAGCAGTATGTATGGAATTGTATTAGCAGGAGGCACACACTGACTCGGGAGAACGAGGGATGCTTAGCTGCTGAAAACCATCCATCCCCGTATAGAAGGCTTTCTGCACAATGTAATTTGGGTTCCGATTAATGTAAGTATCTAACCTGTTGGGTACAGAGAGCCCTTCTCTACATTTTAGTCCAGAATAGATTCTGGGAAAATTTCCTTTTTTCTTTTTTTCAGCTAAGACCCTGGGAGAAAAGACTGCCTCCAGGGAATCATGTCCGATTAGGGACAAAGGAGGGCACAAGCCCAATTCAGTCACACGTGAGAGCGCGGGGCAGGGGTTGGGGGGTGGTGGGGTGGTGGTGAAGAGCCAGCAGGGAAGGTGGAGGATGAGTTTGCATACCAGACTATGGTCACTGCAGAGCTGCTTCCAGACCACCTGACTTCAGGCCCAAGAACAGGTGGTGGTTTTAAAACACACTGTTATTTATTTTGGCCGTATAAGTTGAGAACACTTTAAAGAAAACAATTAATAATTTAATTGAAAAAGTGACTATGAATAAGACGTGAAGATGATGTATGCTAGCAGGACCGCAAGCAACGTGGCCCACAACGCACAGATGCCTCTGGCAATCTCTTCAGGAAAACGAAGATTCCTTACCTAGGATAGGTAAGGCCCTGCTGGATAAATTAAAGACAACAAGAAAATGTTGATACTCTCAGAAAATCTAATTTTGCTGCTTTGTCTTCACTTTTATTAACAGGGGACAACCTCGTAATCTGATGACATCATGATCCTGGGTAGGCCCACAGACAAATACCTCCAATAAAATAAAAGCGAGAAAGCCCAAAGAACAAGCTATAAAAGTAACCTGGGAGGATGCAACAGTGCCTGGGCAGAAGGCCCGGAGGGGATTTGCCCTAATACTGCCACTGTCCCAAGAAGCAGACCCTGCGACCTGCCTCCTGCACTTCAAAGGCCTGACAAGTAGAACTGAGAGTGACCCTGAGTTCCTTTTCTTTATCTGGCACCGGCTACACACAAGATGAGGCCTAGTCAAGCCTGCCTTTGTTCTAGGCAAAAATTTAACAGGTAATCCACAGGCCAGTGATCTATGGCCTCTGTACATTATGGAAATGAGGGACTACACACAAGCTGGGTGTCACCTCTACTAAAACTCATTTTCCTTATTCATAAAAACAATACCTCTTCAGAGGGAACTGGCAACTTCTGCACTTACATACGAAATCGGGAGTTTCTCTGAAATACTCCTTGCAAATTCTATCCTCCAGCTCTGGAAGCCCCGGCTCTTCGAAGGGCAGCTGCCTGATGTTAAACCCACGGCCTACCCAGCAGTGACAGCCTGACATTCTCATCGCTCCATCCTGAACACTGCTGACAAATAAACCCACTCTCAGAAAAGGCAATTCTTCCCTCGCAGTTCTCCATACCCAGTCTCGTCTCATCTGGAAAGCGTAATTGGCAACAGCCGAAAGGATAAATATTTAAAAATAAATCAGGGAGCGCTAACCCCTTCCCTACTCCTCCCCTTACTCACTCTCCAAGCCAGAGGCCTGCCCCCTAACACTGAGCTGGCTGATAAATTACAATGATTCTACCGAGCCAAACCTGTTTGTCTCTCTCTCTCTCTCTACACATACACACTTACTAATGCTGTATCCTTCCACTTTTGCAAAGGTAAATATGATCTCTAAGATACAGTGGATGTCAGCATTCTGACTTCCAGCTTAACCTGGGCTCTCTTTTCACAGTACAGCTGGGTTTAAACAGATTTGTGCACCCTTCCGGGTTCTTCTATTTTTATTAAATTATATGTAGACATTGATTTTTAAAACAAGTGCTTAAATAACCTGGAGGCTTTAACAAAGAAAAATCCAGAAGAGGGCAAGAAACAAAAACAAACGTTCCTGAAATAAACAAGGAACCATTTGGAGCTGAATTTCACTCCATGGCCTGAGTTCACCCCATGATTTTGAGGCAGTTATATTTAGGGGCCTGGTACCCGCTGGGTGGCCGGGCCTTCCTGGGTATGGAACAGAATGCAGACCTTCCTCAGAACAGCTCACATTTGCCTTCATAACCATTGGAAGCTGGTGTGCCAAGGCCTGCACACAGATGTTTTGATTCACATTTTTCTGCTGAAGCCTCAAGGCCTCCATCCATCCCTACAGTGCTAATTCCATAGATTAATTTTTACCCCCAAATCATAGGTGGAACATTATCTAATTTCCTTACCCACCCTCCCCAGCTCAGGTGCTAAATCTGTCAATGATATCCCACAAGAAAGACACAAATGAGTAACTATTTTTTAAAAGCTGTGATTCGGGAGAGTTTTTCTAAATTAATTTTAAGTTACAAAGCCCCAAGTTTTAAGGAAGCCAAAATAAAGAAGTTGCCTTAAAACAGCTTTACGTGTTGCGTAAAGCGCTCTCTCTTTCTCGCTCCTTCTTTTTTAAACAAAAATATTATTTCTGAAAGGGCAAAGGGAATGTGCCATGCAAGACTTTTATACCCAGGGGGATTCTTACATTTGTGTTTCTAAACCTTGAAATTGAGAATTTTAATGAAAAGGCGGACAGATGCTTAAGGACAGCATCGCAATCTGGGTCCATACATTACAAGAGAGAGAGGCGCTTTGTTTGGGGCCAAGGAAAAAGAGGTGGGACTCCTATTTTGTTCATAGGCCATCCCCACCGTCTGACACATCCCTTTACAGTCAGTCTGATGCTAACCACTGAATTCCTGGAGGGGAAGCAGGTTGGAAGGAGAAGAAAGGAAAAGGGAAACAGAAGAGGAAAAAAATGGGTGAGGGGATACTGCCTGTTTATATAAATTGTAGATTTTTTTAAAAAAATTCTCAACACAGTATCCATTGCATAGTATGCACCAAGAGCACTTTCACACGTGAGTTAAAACGATCCATTAAATGCTATATCGAAAGTACAACAACCAGGGTTGGAGTTTTTTGTTTTTTTTTAATGAAGAATTCATTGAGGTTTGCAGTTCTCCCCTATTAAGTTTCTAAGGATGGGGCACAAGACACGAAGATAGACAAAAGATGACCTTTTTCATGCTTTCCCCCAAATAATTCTAGAATCCTATTTTCTTATCTTTTCATTTTAGGGCATTTGGGTTCAAAAATCTGTGCTAATCTGACTTCAGAGCCCCCGAGCTGAAAAATTCACATATCCTCCAAGTCAGCCAGTGTTTTAGAATTTGGATTTCTATTGAGGCTGTTCCAATCGCCAGTGAGGCCTACGGTAAAAACGTGCTTCATGCTGTTTCGTTTGTCTCTCTGCAGACAAATAGAAACTGTGAAATTTAAAGAATGGATGAAAAAAAGAAGTCTAAAACAAAGAGGTTAAAAAAAGAGGACAAATGTTTTTGCTTTTCTGTCTCCCCGGAGCAATTGTTTGGGGAAGTCTGCATTGACAATAACCATGAGAAGGCCATCTAAAGGCGATGCGCACACAAGGGGACTCCTTGCCTGCTGCCTTTGGTCTGGGAGAAAAAGTACCTTAGCTCCGTTCTCCAGAAACAAAAGGCCAGGGCCACGGAAGGGGGAGAGGTGACAGGGGCTTTCACATGGAGCCAAGTGTCAATGCTGGTTCATTTTTCACCCGTCTTAGTTGGAAAGCAGCTCAGGGAACTTCCTAATGACTGCTTTTCCCTCTCTCCCTATTATTTCTAAACCTAAAAGAACAAAACAATAATATTTTTTTTAACCTAAAACCCATCATTCTATTAGAGGAAAGCCTTTGGGGCCTATGCAGTCAGATTTTCCTCTTTCCTTTCCTCATCCTACTTTTTTTTTTTTCCTTTTTGGAGGGGTTTCCAACTGTAGATCACATGGAAATAAGAGACACTGGACATTATAGTCATTTTTAGTAACACCAGAACGGCCTTTATATCTACGAAAAGGCAGGAAACGGGGAGAAAACACACATGTACAAAAAACCCAACAGGGATAGAAGGCAGTGGTGGGGAGGCTGCGGGGGCAAGGCCTTGAAACACTTTCTTTTTTTCACAGCATGAAGTCCACTAATGCCAGCTTCAGATTTGCAACTGAATCAAAGTCTCTGAGTCGTCATTACAAGGTTTTTCGGTGGGTGGGGGCATGGAGAAGTGGACAATAAGGATGTATTAAAGACACAGACAAGGTGTGGCAGGGGCAAAGTGGGGGGAGGTGTTACAAAGAAAGGAAGCTGAGATGAATCACCGCGTGCCATGAAAATACCAGGGCGAGTGGATGTCGGAGTGTTTAACCAGATTTGAAGCTGGAAGCATCTTCCCCAGCGGGCAAACCCTAGGACGAGGCACAGCCACGCGACCCTCAGCCTTTGAACCCAGACCTGGCAGCTTAGGAGCACACTCCCTCTTCCCCAGGCAGCCACAGGCTCTGAGCTGAAAGGCAAGGTGGGGGTAGGGATGAGAGGGCCCTGCAAAGAAGAAGCACAATCAACAACTCAAATATGAACGGAAATGACGTCAGCAAAGTGAAGGACCTGTTTACTGCAGATCAAAACAAAACAAACTTCCAAACCTTTTGTGTACACAAGAGAACTCTATAAAAAGCCTTCCTAAAATGTCACCAGGGTCGACACATCGGCATCCTCACAAGAAAACGCATGACAGTTACCATGGGGGGAGGGGGGAGGAAAGGCACTGAAGGGAAGATGATCTGGGGGGCTGGGGGGAGGAGGGATAAAGCCAGAAGGAGCCAAAAACCCAGTTGCTACTGCCCCCTCTGCTGATCCTTAATATTTATTGGTGTTTATAATCTAAAAGCCATGCTCCACGTTTCACTTAATACAAGGCCAGACAGTGTTGTCTAATGAGGCAGCATTACAATCAGCTTGTAATACTGAATTTTTAATGCTGCCAAGGATTCTGTTACATAATAATATGAAAAACAGAAGCTGAAAGTGGGCTCGCAGGGGACGGGACATTCGAGGTTCCAGGCAGGCGAGCGCCACCAGCCCGGCTCCCCTCCCCCACACCCGCCCCCCTACTTTCTGACGTGCAATCAACCCTCCATCCCGATACAGGAGGTCAGTGTGGAGACCAGGAGGATTTTTCTTAGGAAATCCACACTTTTCATTATTATTGTTACTATACTCTCATCCGAAGTTATAGCTCAAGAGTTTGAATTCTAGCTTCTCTGGGGTTAGAGGTCTAAAATGAAAATTAATTTTTTTGGGAGAGGGGGCAAAGAGACAATACAGGGGAGGAGAGGGGTAGCTTATTTTAAGCAAACCAAGAAATTTGAGAGAAAAATTACAGAGAGAGAAAGATCTTGGGGGGGTGGGGAGGGGATAGATGTCTGCCGACCATATTCACAGCTGCCACACTCAGTTTACATTGGTGTAATTTAAAAGCATATATATAGCCGCCGTTGCTCCTCTCTGTAATACCCCAACACTGTAAATCTATAACCACTGCAATGATTTAGTGATTAAAAACATGAAAACATATTGTGTAACTGCAAACCACAGAAACCCTGCCAACTCTCTCTCTAAGATAAAGGGGAAAAAAATACAGAAAATGTGTTGCTTGCAGCCATCTTCCTAAACCCCAAAAGATTTTAATAAAAGAACCTATACAGCAGATGAATTGGAAAGGGGTGAGTGAATTCTGTGTGAAGCCAGCAAAGGGAGAAAAAAAAAAAAAAGGCAGCTTTATGTGGGATTCTTTTCCTTGTACTAACAAATTACGACCTAAACATGCCTTTTCTTTTCTCTCTTTTTTTTAATAGTTTGTTGTAACTGGAATAACTGGTCTTGTGCACTGTCTTGCATATTCAAAGCTGCTTTGTAACCGGATCTAGAGACCCAACCTTATTTGCCTGAACTCAATAGGGGTTTTTTCTCCCCCTCCTCCCAAGTTTTGTTTTGGATTCGGTATTGTGGGTTTTCTGTTGTTGCTGGGAGCCTATGTCTATGCAGGCAGAGGCTCTGCTGCCTTTAAGCCACAGACCAAACACCTGAAAGGGGAGGCACAATTTGTAGAATGGCAGGAGGAGCCTAAAATATACACCAAAAAATAAAATCAAAGCAGCTGTAGGGGTTTTGGCCTCTGAGCAGCTGACCTGACCCCGTTCTGTATATTCTTTTATTTCCCCATTGCAGGATTCCTGCACCTTGGGTCAGATTCAAACTCAATGTGACCCTGAGGAGAAGGCAGTCACAGAGCGCTGGAAAGCTGCTCCATATTTAACAGGGGTGGGGGAAGTACGTGCATATGCATCCAGACTCCCCCAGTGAAGGCACACGGTGCAGGCGTACACACGCACGCACACGCACAAACACACACACACGTCAGGACTGCCAGGCCAAGGGGCCAGCTCCACCCCAGTTTCCTTGGGTCACACCACTGGAGAGCCTGAACTCTCCTTGCGGGCCCCCAAAATCCTCATACCTACAACTCTACACACACACACACACACACACACACACACACACACACGCAGAGAACACCACTCCTCCAGAGGCTTTATATGTTTAAAAAGTCCACATATCTGAATCGCCTCCTCTCTGGACCGGAGCAGGGCAGTTTATTCAGAGAAATCAATAGGAAAGAGCATTTGCAAATATTTATATAAGCCCTGTGCGTTTCAGCATTAAGTAATTAAAAACTAAAATCCAAGGAGGGGGAAGGGAGCCACACAGACAGAGGAAGGCTGCTGGCCTAGAGTGGGTTTTCCTGCCCACACCTCATCTTCCCAAACCGCAATCCTTTCAAAACTGACTCCGTGTACACTTTTTACGAAATCCTCTTCGTGCACCATTTGCTAGACTATTTCAAAATCATCTCCAAATATGGATTCACCTACCACCAAGCTTTCAAGACTGTGTCTGTATTCTTTCTCTTCTCATACACACACAGCAACTCATATTTTGACACTGCTTCAATCTCTAGTATATTCTTTTATTTTCCTATCTCTAATTTACCTGCTCCAATTAAAAAAAAACCAAAAAACAAAAACCTAACATTGTAAGATGAGAAGAGGGCCCCCAAAGTGCTCATTCAATAAGCAAACTCCCACCCCCTAGGTCTCCTGAATACCCCCCACTTCCCTGAACCCACAGGATGTCTACCCTTTGGGGGTTCAGTTCCTGAAACCCCCACAAGTAAACAGATTTGGAAAAGAAAAAAAAAAACTTCAGCAAAATGGGAGTTTTAGAATGAGCCACTGTGGAGTGGACTTCCCTATACTGTTCCAGAGGGCTGGGCAGTAAATTCTGGTTGTTCTGCCTCTAAATCCTCCCCAACAAACCAAGCAAGACGCTGGAGCACCCACGCTACAGATAGGGTAGAAATTTACAGTAAATGTAGGTACACGATTGCAGCACGCTGCCCTATTGATTATGCAGATTGTGATCAATCTTCTCCCCTCGCCCATTGCCCAAGCCTCTTTCGGAGGACCTCCAAATAAGTTGGTCTGCAACTAGCTATTCTCCCAAAGTAGGGAGAAAAAAAGTAATTTTTTAAAAAACATAATAAATCCTCAATTGTCCCCACTGAAAGGGCTCGAGTCTTTTTAAAATTCCAAAGTGAATTTATGTTCTGTAATTTGCATTACAGCCAAGCGATCACCGTCTGTCATATTCTTCAAAGGTACTTAACAAACTGCCTTTTAAAAGTCACTAGAACTGGAGGCCAGAAAAAGGCAATCAGCATGCTCCGTCCATACAGTGCTTAGATCAAGTTTCAATAATTGAGACCAATAAAAATTGTCATATTTACCCTACTTGAAAGCAACAAGGGGGAAAAGTTAAGACTGGGTGCCTTTTGAAAGCGCTTGTAATCAAAGAATTTGCCACAGTCGAAAGAATAGCACAACATTGGACAAAAGTCAGATTCTAAGCAACAGCTTCATTCGTAAAGTGATATATATACATATTTTAATTCAAGTTATACAAGAACCCTCCGAGTACTGAGTCCATACA